GAAACTTTTTGAATAAAAAGATAAAAGAAATTGACACGGAGTACGAAGGATATTTCGAAGATGGCGAGATCAAGAAAGAGTCGCCAATAACACCGGTTGCCCGTCCACCTCTCCCTACTCCTAGCAAACCCGACCAAAAATGGGAATTTCCCAGAAATAAACTTAGGTTGCAAACGTTGCTCGGCGAAGGAAACTTCGGGCAGGTGTGACCCCATTTTACTTTATTGAGGTTATTTATTAATTTACACACTTTTATGTTGAGTCAATAATTGTAATTATTTAATTCAAGGTCTGGAAAGCGGAAGCCGATGACTTGAACGGTCACGATGGATTAACGCGACTGGTAGCAGTAAAGACAATAAAGGAAGCAGCGTCACAAAAGGAAAAACAAGAATTACTTCATGAAATCTATATTATGCAGAAGATTGGAACACATCCGAATGTGGTAACATTGTTAGCTTGTTGTACAGAACAAGGTTTGTAATTTTATTTGACTTTTTAAAAGTAGCCATCGTCAAAAATATGTGTTAATCCTTTGATCTTTATTATAAATCTTACGATAGAGCCTTACTTGCTGATAATGGAGTACGTGATGTGCGGCAAGCTACTGACGTACCTGCGCGCGCGACGTTCGCGGCCCGACCGATTCGGCGGTGGCGGCGCACTAGCTTCGCGCGACCTAACCGTCTTCGCGTACTGCGTAGCCCGCGGCATGGACTACATCGCCTCTAAAGGGGTGAGTCAAAATTTAGTATACATATCTTGAACTTTATTTTTTGCAATCGTATATTCCTCGTATTTCGTGAACACTTGGGTTTTCGCAAGGACCACTTTATAAATCGCTTATAATTTACTATGTTCATGTATGTATTGCAGATTGTCCATCGTGATCTAGCAGCCCGCAATGTACTTGTGGACCACAACAAGCTGTGTAAAATTGCCGACTTCGGCATGTCTCGGTGTGCGGGCGGCGGAGCGCGGACAGCTCGCGGCGCGCTGCCCGTGCGTTGGATGGCGCCCGAGGCTCTACTCTACAATGTATACAACCACCAGACTGATGTCTGGGCCTTTGGTATACTTCTCTGGGAGATCGTCACTTTAGGTAATTACTAGAGGCTTCGCATCAATCAGTTATCGCCTGTGTTAATTACGTTATTGTTTTTGCGTTTTAAAATTTACATCTTAACAACACCTTGAATATAATGACTAATATCATTAATTTTCCAGGGTCAACGCCCTACGCAGCAATGTCGGGGAGAGAAGTATTGACAGCAGTTACTGAAGGCTACCGGCTGGAGCGGCCGCCACACTGCAAGCCGCAGTTGTACCGCGCCATGCACTCCTGCTGGCACGCCGACCCATCGCAGAGACCCACCTTCGCGTCCCTCAAGGCGCAGTTAGCTGAACTACTGGATAACGAACCTTCTGAAGGCAACTACGTAGACTTGGACTCTTTCTACCAAGAGTCTTCTGTTTACAGTGATCCGTCAGCGATTATTAATGATGAAGACGGTCTTTCCGCAGAATATGATAGAGAAAGGAGATGTTTTAGAGAGTAAGTAATGTTGTACAGTAAACGTGAACTGTGAACCTGTAACCACACTGCAAAAATTGTCTAATCGATAAGTACTAATAAATATAAAATTAATTTAGACCACACGAAAATCATAAATATACTTATTAACTATAGTATTGAGAAACCAAATGGAAGGAGAAATGTACCGTTCCAACTCAGTACAGCAATTCGTAATGTCTTTCAGTAGTAGTACTTCACATTCAAATAATGGCCGAGGTTTTGATTTCTTTTGATGAAATATAAATGGTTTTAATACACTTTTTCAGATTGGTTCCCGGTCCTGCAAAATTCGACAATAGAGCGTTCAATCTTCGCGACGAAGAAATAAGAAACAAATTCGGCATCGGGACACCGAGAATGGGCGGTTTCGGAATCCGAGACGCGCCTTTCAACGAAAGAAATTTTCCAGAAGGGGAATTCAATGAGAGGAAATTTCCAGAAAAGAATTTCCCCGAAAGAAATTTCACCGATCAAAATTTTAACGATCCGAATTTCGCTGAACGCAAAGATGGAAAGTTATCAACGTCGAGTTTTCATAGGGAAAGAGAACGGGAAAATCCATTAGTCAGTAGGAACAGCTTTAACGGTTTCCCTCGTGTTAGTGGTACGAGGGAAAATCATTTTCAATTAAATCCCGACGGTCGGAACAAAAGAGTATCAGAATTCGAATGCGACATATGAACATAAGAAAACGATATTGAGTTTTATAAAAAGCAAAGTTTTCTCTATGGTCTTAGCTTGAGACCGTGTTCATTCGAAATTTGAAAAATTTAAAATTGTTTCATCGGTTAACAATTTTCTGAATTCGTATTTCGAATGTTTATTTAACAGTGATAGAAACAAGTTTTGATAATTGGTATATTTGCGTGATCATGACAATTTACTAAAGCCTTCGATTTCAATCGAATCTATGACTTAAGATTTGTACGAATAAATTGTATATAATTGTTAATTTATAACAGTATTCTTTAGTGTGTCACATGATTAATGTAGACAGAATAGTTATTGTAAATAAATTGTGTAATTGTGTTATTTTGTATGATATGGGAAGTATCAAGTGATACATATTTTATAAAAGTGTATTAACGTATTTTTGTACAGATGCACTGCATTTGTGTTTTTTATTCATTTCACATATAAAAATGTTATTAAATCACTAACTAATTTTAGTTTACGACTAGTATATAGTTACACATTTTGATAAAATATATGTAAATGTTGAAATTATATTGTTATTCCAAATCAAAGATATATTATGTTGGATTGTAATGGTGCTAAATATATAGTATTATCCCGGATTTGTTTGTGAAAATCGGATGATATTTTAGCAACGTGTTATATCTGTATTTGTTTATATTAATTCTCTTTAAATCTCAGTTCAACATTACTTTCTAGTCTCTAAAATTGTATGATTACTATTGGATTGTTACAAAATCTGATTAATTGGGTAAGATTGAAAGATTTATTTTATTATAATTATAAGGAGTTTGTGAACTTAAATTTGTGTATTATTTTACCTCAAACAAAACCTTATCTATGTTGATTTATGAATGTTTAATCGGCGAGACAGTGTTGATAATAACACGCCAAATGGGAATCCGTAATATCTTACTCGTATCTGCCCTCTAAGGGTTATAGGCGTGAGTGTGTTATTTTAGTTGTTTTAAAACCTAATATAGCGAGCATACCATTTCCTTAAAGGCCGGCAACGCATCTACAGTTCCTCTGGTGTTGCAGATGTCCATGGGTGTCGTTGATCACCTCGGTGTTCCCGCTCGTTTGCCCCTTCTCTTATAAAAAAAATATATTAGAGAGTGAGTTTTGAAACATTTAAGAAATATTATAATTAGTATATTTAGAAAAGAAATTAAGTTATTCTTCAAAATTTTTTTTTCGGATACAGGAACCGTATCGTAAAATATCGACGTAGCATTTGACCTCATGTTATGTCATCTTTTTAAATTTTTCTCATTTTTAAATGGGTTGACCTATATTTGTAAATAAAACCAGAGAACAAAATTGTTCTTTATCATTGGTAAACCTAAAGGAGATCACAATAAATCAGAAATAATACTTAATTATTTATTTGAACAGTAAAAGTTCTTATTTTAAAATTTAATTCTTTGCAGTAAATTTGAAAAAAAATATCTATAGCTTCTTCTTGTCAGCCATGAGTCGCCCACAGCTGGGCATAGGCCTCCAAAGATCGCCACGGTGACCGGTCCTGTGCTACCTGCATCCAGGATGCTCTCGCAATCTTGACCAGGTTATCGGTCCGTCTTGCGGAAGGCCTGCCCACGCTGCGTCGACCTGTCGACCTGTCCGTATCTATGTCTACTAATATTATAAAGAGGAAAGATTTGTTTGTTTGTTTGCATTGAAAAGGCTCCGAAGCTACTGAATCAATGTGAAAAATTCTTTTACTGTTGGGACTTTTTTTATATATATCATAAGGTGGCAAACGAGCGAGCGGCCACCTGCAATCGCTGAAATAGCGAAGTGACCGTTGCCCATAGACATACGCAATTGCGTATGCGTTGCCTACCTGTAATCGATGGAGGAGACGATGCACAGAAAGAAAATACTCTACGCTAACCCCACGTGACATATTTATCACTAGACTGTTTTTAATTCTGCACGGACGAAGTCGCGAGCGACAGCTATATCACGTAACAAAAATAAATTACGTCATTCAATCTCAACTGTAACTAATGAATAATTATTGTTAGATAACACAATATCCCAAAACATATTGTGCTAAAACACGAATCTTTTTTAGTAATAGTCAATCATGACGATTCAAATACTAATAAATACTATTATACAAAAAATTGCTAAGAATGAAGTATTTTAAACCTTATTACGATGATTTATGATTCACTTTAGTTATAAAACACGAGGTAAAAATAGTCATTGTCATCATCGAAACTTGGTAACAACGTTATAATCCTATCAAGTGTGAAAGCATCGTAAAGAGAGTTCGATGTTTTTTTTTTAAATAAATCATTCTTTATCTCCATATAAATAGAGTTCATTATCCAATGTATTTCGTTGACCTTAAGATGATTGTTGAACTTTACTATGACTTTTGTTTACGTAATGTCAATAGGCATTGATAAGACGATGACCATGCAGAAGAACCAATAGGTCTTTGTATTATTTTGACCCTATATGAGTGAAAGTTGTAAGTTCCGGCATAATCTGACACCTGTGGATACCGAGAGTTTGTGGATACAGCGACATGCGTTCATTCCACGTTAGACTCGGAACCGGCGCGCGCGCATCTCGGTACAAAAGACATCAACGAGTTTAACTTACTTTTAGTTTGAAAATGATAAGTGAATTTTGAGTGGTGTGCTATTATTTTATCTTTTTATAATTTAATTATGTTATACTAAAGTTAGTTTTTTTTAATCAAAAAACAATGGCTTATATATCTAGAATAGTTTTTATTTTAGCTGTAACTTCAGCTGTGCGGGTACATGATGATTTAGAGTCTTCAGATCCTCATGAAGTCATGATAGCACAGGAGTCTAGAAGCTACCATACGTTCGTTACACCACCAGTTCGAATTATAAAACCGTCTGGAGTGATTAACTCTCATCGACCACAGTACAACTTGGATTCTTTGGAAGAAGATCTGGCCAAATTAGATGTCGATAATTTCTTCGAAGCGACAACAAGAAAGAGTTTATATAAAACATATAATTACCAGAATTCAAGAAATAAGGAGAGCATAATTAGAGATGCGGTTTTACGAGCGTTGGAGAGAAAAGATCATGTTGGAAAATTCGCTCAAATTCTCCCTATTATTCGAGCAATGTCGGGAAGTCAAAGGGTTGCACTAGCGTCGTTGGTCGCCAGTCAAGTCAGCATCCCACCGGGAAGGGAGCCTCTCAATCTCTCACAGGTAAGTCTTGGCAATTTATTTTCAATTGTATATACCTTTATACTCTCATCTTGAAATGTACAAGTAGAAATATAATGTTTCATGCCTATTGTTTACAAATACGTTTACACAACGAGAAAGGAACAAAAAACTTTGTATGTTGTTAATAAGCCTATTAAATAAATAATTAAGTACACTAAGTGTGCCAAACATAGTCTTCAATTGGTCCTTAATATTCCCTTATTGTACACTTCTCATACTAAATCTACACTTGGATTGTGCAGGTGTAAATCATTATATAATCTTAAGGATTAATGTGCAATGAATTTTGTGAGTACTTTAAAATTAAATTTATCGCATAGAAATGTTTGATATTATAAAATGTTCTCGAATATTTTTAACAGCAGATTACCATATCTATGATGATATTACACATAGATAGGAAAAAGTGCGTAGTAGAAAGTGATTTAGGAGCAAACAGGTTTACTCGGTCTCGCAGAATTTTGGTATTCGCGTAGTTCTAACAATACACATATTACATGTTAAAAAAATCGATTACATAATTCTTTGGTGACAAAGTTTATTAAAGATATCAACAAAAATGATAGATTTGGTATTTTTATCAATACACAAATTTCTTATCAATATTTCTAGTCGTAACAATGAGAAATATGCTAAATTCTTTAAAACAGTGAATTTACATTTCCAAAAAACGTGTAAAGGCGTATTGTTATCTCTATTTATTTGAATAGAAATTTAACTAGAGAAATCCTATCCTATGCCTAATAATTATTAGGTATAAAACTTTTCTTCTACAACAATTCCGTTTCATTCGTTCACTAGATAACGAAGTCTAACGTAACAAGATGTACGATAACATTTGAATAAATTGAAACAAAAACACAGTAAAATAATAAACTGTAAAGCTTTCTGACAAGATCTGCGTCCGTTTACAATCGTCAATTGTTTTGCGAAGGCTGCAGCCCTGGTACTTTTATCTGATCTTCTGATGTTTTGATTGTTATGTTCTAAACGTAAAATTCTACTGCAGTATAGCTTTGATACAGGGAGATGACAAATTTGAACACCATACGAAATCATTAATTACAAATCACACTATATTATCAAGGAAAAATTTTCAAAAGATTCCCCCCTTGGGAAGAACAGACCCTGCCATTTTGAAGAAAAATAGTGCTATGGGGGATTGTTTCTTACTAAAACCTTCAATACAGCCATCCTCAAAGTAACTGGGAGGGCATCGGTATCTCCATTGGAAAGCACCGGGGCTTGTAAATTGGTTATGCTAATGAACGTAAAAAAAAAATAAAGATAACGCCTTTGTTTATAATAATTTAAGTTATAAAAACTTGATGTTTCATTGAATAAATCTAAGTTATTACAATTCAGTATAAATATTGCCGAATTTCTCCAGATGCAATCTCGATAATATCGATAACGAGGTGATAATCGAACAGTTACGTAAACCAAGACAAACTTTCAAAACGAATATACTCATAATATGAGAATAAAGAAAGCTGGAAAGATCAGGCTGGTAACATTCATGTCACAAAATATAAGTCGACCGTTAAAAAAAATCATTATTTAAAATCATTTTTTAATTACTTAATTTCTTGATTACACTATATTAATCCATATTAATTTAACAAACAGGAAAAAAACATTGTTGTATGTAACGAATAAATTTAAAAACTGAGCTAATTTCATAAATTCTTTTGCCATTAAAAAGCTACATTATTACTGAGTAAAATAGGCTATATTTTTTTTAATTCCTCACAGATTAAAGCGGACAAGAACCATTTTTTTTAAAGTTCGTTTAAAGGCGTTACGATTGACATGCTTAAACAACGGTACTGGTGCAACATTTCTATTTATTTACACATAGAATCGTTATAATGACACGGTCGCCAGTAAAAATGCACACAATTCAAGAGAAAAATTTCCCACTGCAAAAAAATTTTTACTTTCCCACTTGACGGATAATCGCATAGTTATTACGCTGTAAATTGAAAACCTTATTATTTAGTACGCGAAACTTTATTTCGTAAAGAAAATATCGTTGGTGCTTTTATTTCTATCTCTATGTATTGTTTTAAGCTCCCTTATGATATCTTTTGCGTACTTAAATGTTAATTTAAAGACTGATTGTAATACAATTGGTATAGTACATTGGTATCGTATTAACTATTTATATTATACTATCTGTTGTCCGCGACTTAGTCCGCGTGGTGTTAAAAAAAGCTTAATTAGTAGTCTGCGTGATCTTCCTGACTTTGTTCTAAATCTGTGACAAATTTCATCGAGATTATGCAGCAATTTGGAGATACTTTCAAAAAAACATCGCATTTATAATATTAGTAAGATTTAAGTTAATTGCTTTTAGTACAATAATTAAAAAAAGTGACACGCCAATTGTGACAGCACTTGCGAAAAGCTTAACCTTTCGATACAAAAAGCGAACTAATTATAATTGCTTGCTAACAAAAGGTTCGCTGAGAAAATCGAAAATAATTCTATTGTTAAAGCGAAAATCATATTCCAATAGATCGAATTAACTGCTTTCAATAGAACAGCGGTTTCATTGGAGAGTCGATGGAACGGGGCCATTTTTTCTGCACACTGTACATTTTCACGCGTCTCCATACTCAGCTAGACGACAAATAGACCGCATAACATGCGAGTCTGTACTTATCAATTAACATTATTGCTGATACTAGTAACATAAGAATAAGAATAAATTGATTTCACAAAAACACGTTAGAGTAATATACAGTGAAGTATCTTGCAGACCCCAAACTAGGCTGAGTCTGTATCTCGGGGCCTAGGAGTGCACTAGCCATAAACAAAATAACAGTACGTACATATCATGTAAAACATAGTTGTAGTGATTGTTGTTCATTAAATTACGAACACTTTCTTAATTAAATACTTTTATAAGTTTTAAATTTACATTAGTTAACAAGCAATACATAATTAAAAGATCAATAAATCTGAACTATTTATATCATAAGGCGGTAAACGAGCGATCGGCAACTTCAACGAAATAACGAAGTGACCGCTGCCTATAGACATCCATGATTGCATGCGTTACCTACTTCAAGGAGTTTTTTACGGATTTTATATAAAAATCTACTCTTACATTTGCAAGACTCAATAATAAATTTTTATCAAAATTCAATACCTATAACTTAGACTGTCTTCGTCCTACATTTATCGAAATGCGTCTTACGGTTGAATATTAATAAGTAAGAGGAATAGTTGGCGTCCGCTCAAGTATGGCGGCTCAGCGTGTTTCCTCACATCTCCAGATCAAATCTCAATCCAGTTAAAGTGAAACACGGAAATAACGTACGGAAATTGTTATTGCTTGTTACTATATTGTATTAATAAACTTAATTTAAACATTAGTTGGTGATTGTTGTAAGACCAATAAGCAAAACAGACTATGTTTTATATCTATGCCAAATTTCAGTGAAATCTATAGAGATACCTTACCTAATCACTTCTGGAGATACCTTCTATCAAACATCCATCCATCCAAATATACGCATTTATAAAATAAGTGAGATAATAATGTTTATTTTATGCCTATACAGGTTGAGTTCGCTAAATGTTTTAAACATGTTCAAAGAGTTACATTTGAATTATATTTAAATTTAGAACATTAAAGAGATCGAAAGTGTTTAATGCCAATGAAAGTGCCAGTGAAAAAGACTTGTTTCGGTTACATAATGTCGTTAAATATGTAAACTGCTAATAGTTACTAAATACTTCTATAACTTAAAAATAATGATATTTTATGATCGAAACTTCTACTTCGTCTTCGTATTCATCTTTACTGAAGATCGTCCTTGTCTTGATATGCCTTTACGGATGCGTTGACCAGCTGCCTCCACGCCATCCTGTCTTTGGCTTGTCTCAGGGCAGTCGTGATATTGAGTCCCAATATAGCCTGCATTTGATCGGACCAGCGCGTAGGTCATCGACCCCGTGATCGTTTACCCTTTATCTTTCCACACACCCAATCTACAGTACTACGTACGTATAATACAGGCTACAAAGTATAAAATTTCGAAAACAGTTGGTTTATACTTAACATAGTTGTCTTAAAATTATCATCCCACTTTCTCTGTGAACCTGCGTCCATTAAAAAAGATAATCGTGGCTCCGATTCGCTTTAGGTCAGTGCCATACTCATTCTTAGATGTTTTGACCTTAGAAAACAAGAACAATAAACATGACCTTAACTCTCTTTATCTAATAACAAACGACTTTTTCTCATGACCGTGACAAAAAACTTTCATTGACAAAGATTTTTGGGGAATGATATAATTTTAAATTATACTATTGTGTATTCGTAGGACTACTATTCACAAAGTACTACATGGTGTTTTAAGATTCCATTTCTTAGCAATATCGATTTTAATTATCGATTTAATTATTCAAAAACAACTTAATATATTATATCAATTTAATAGCGTAACCTTTTGTTTATTACAGGTGAGATCGATGTTTGGTAACGAAAATAATTCTACCACAGAATTAATGCTGCCAATATTATTAGACATGGCGAATCTGATACGACGCGCCATCAGACCGGGCAAGGAGCAGAGAGATGTAAAATTACCACTAACATTGCCACAAACAGAATATCTCAGACGTTCATTCATTGACGATACATCACAGAGCGACGAATTCGATCCTGGCGTTGAAGAATTTCAACCAAAAACAGAAACAACTAAAGCACCATTGACTTTCAAGAATCGAAACACAAGAACCAGACCTCAAACAAGTGAAACTACAAATAAATTTAATAAATTAGGAGCCAAAAATACTACACAAGATAAAACAACAGACAATTCAACACTAAACACTAAAGACGATTCAAATGTTACTTTAGTGAATAAGAAAGAAGATAATAATGTAAGTAATTTCATTTTATACACTTGTACATCATCATCAACCTGCTCTTACCCCTACGGAGGGTCGGAACAGTATGTACTACGCCTCCATACATCACTATCAGTCATATCTGAATCTACCGTCTTCCTATGCATATCCTCTTTCACACAATCCATCCATATTTTCGTGGTCTTCCTCTACCTTTGTAGCCATCCTCATTCAGTCTCATTACTTGTACATATTGAGAACAATAGAAAAAATGTTACTCTATATTTAATTCATCATCATCAGCTCACTATACGTCCCCACCGAGGGGCATTTAATTAACTAAGTTCAATTGATTCCTAAGTGTCTGATGTGTTAATGAAATGTGTTCTCACATGCTTGTCAAGATACGCAACGCGTAACAAATGAGGTGGAAAGTGAAACGTGGTAAAAGTTTTGTATACTCTCGAGACTTTAATCTCTAGTCCATACCAAGGATAAGGCAGTTCACAGTATTAATAATTGCTAAGAACTGCCTGGAAGATAAATCGCATGGACGAACAATAGTGTGCATTATAATGTCCGAATAAAATAATAATTTTACTGATAATTGTTATTGTTGATTTTTTTTTATAATATGTTATTTCATAAAATATTTTGATATATTTAATTAGCATGGAGTAACAAGATTCCAAAAGAAGAAATAAAATAAATATAACAGGCTTAGTTTTGCACTTGAGTTATAGTTAGCGGTAATGATTGAGAGAAAGCGGAAACCCGATTACTGGCAAATAGCCATATCATCGTAGTTGTTAATAGTGACGATCTATTTTAACTTGTTATGGATAATGAATATAGAAATAAACATGTTTGACATCTTGATACCATATTTAGCATCAAATTTATTTTTTAGGCCTTGAGTCCAAACTCAAAACGACTCCAAAGTCGTTTCTAAAAGACTATTTTCTAAGGCCATAGCACCAAAATTTCTAGGACTTGTAATTCGATCTTTCAAAGGATTTAAAAAAACTTCAAGCACATAAAATAATTTATTATATCTCAATTTTACTAAAATCGAATTGTCATGAATTTTCCAGAACGCGACATCATCAACAACGCAACAAAGTCGGCAGGCATTCGCTAGAAGCAGGTCAATGAATCTCGCTGACAACGCCACCCTCGACCTTACAGCGGACTCCACCAACCAATCGCTGCACGAACTGCCTGTCGCCGAAAAACTACGGTCACTTAACAGATATATTGATAGGAAAGGTAAACGCTGCTTATATGGCTCTTTTTGTATACCTTTAGTAATGTAAAAACAATAACTACATGTAAATTTTATAAAATACCACTTCGCGATTACAAAGGATTCCTATGAAAGGCAGTCAGAGTAAAATTTCTGAATATAGTCCATGCTATCAATGGAAGGTCAGGCTTACATTGAAAAGTAATAAGAAATTTTATGGCACAAAATAAAATTACATCTTGGTCATAATTTTCCACTTACGAATCCTTAAAAACCATTGTCTATTTTACTATTCCAGGGAACGTAATACGACGTGCAACATTCTCCCCCAAATCGCCACCTCGCCGCACTACCGTCGAGCCTCTGAGTAGGAGAAGACCGTTCCCCTCCAGGAAGCCAGTCACAGCGGAGAGCAAATGCGAAATGTTCACAAACAACGTCTGTCTCCACTATGATGATTATCCTACGTAAGTGTAATTCTTTACATCTCTTATAGTAGCTTTCTGAAATTAACGTTATTAAGATAATAATAAAAATCCCTTTTCTACAACTTCCAGGGAAGCTATAATTCAGTCGATTCGGCGTAATAAGGCAGCTGGTGCGTTACTTGCTGACGTGAAAGACCCGGGTGAGGGCGCCGTAGATGGCATAACTCAAGCGCAAGAGGCCAAGTACACCGCAGATCATTACCTCGTCTCAAACAGGTATTTACCATATACGAATTTCTGTAACAAATCGAGTCAGTAAGATTTGACGATGGTCTCTCAACCCTTATTGTGGCAAGATTTCTTTTTTGAAGAAAAGCAAAAAATACGCAAAAGCAAAAATATAATAATATTATTTTATATAAAATTATTTTATAGGGATCGTATCTTTCTATAGAGTTGTATGTATGGTATACTATACAAAATGAACATAAGTGTTAATAACCATTTTATTAATATCTATATATCCTATATAGATATTAATAAAATGGTTGAGTGACAATATTTTTTACTGTGACTATTTTTTTTTAATTTCAAAGGCTTAGGTTTAAATAAACATTATAGAGTGTTGCTTTATATTTATTATTATATTCTTTAAGTTTCAATAATGATTGTTTTAGGCGAGGTGACACCGCTAACAGAGACTTCGCGAGCGCGGGCGAGGCTGGCTTCATGTGCCCCAGTACCGTAAAGTACGCGAGACCTCAGCGGGCGCGCGCAACTTCAGGCCAATGGAAGTTTATCGTCAATACTGGAGAACATACACAAACACTGCGACTTGAAAAATGCCTGTAAGTAAAATCTGTTCAGATACTGGATAATGAAGCTGCAACTACTACTTACTTGTGGCTACTTAAATGTGATGTGGCATTTACATACTACGAAAGTAAATTTACATGAAATCACGATTATGTTTGTATTAAAATTTACTGACTCAATTTTTAATTTCAGAAAACCAAAAGAATCTTGCACATATCTGACAGATAACTTCAAATCAAAATGTGTGCAAGTTTATAATTATCATAGACTCTTGACTTGGGACCAACAAAATGGTTTACACATGGACATATTCAAGGTAATATTCTTCACCCCACACCATTGTCAATCTTAACAACGGCTCACAATATTTATCACTCAAAAGAAATGTAAGTAAGTATTTGATTTTTTATTTGCAGGTCCCAACGTGTTGTTCTTGTCATATTGAAGGTTACAGCGTTTCGTTCCCGCCACTAGGTCATAGAATACACGAGACTTCCTCCGAACATTTTCCCGGCGAAGATTTATCCCCAGAACAAGGCAATCAGGCATTCGAAGCTGTCCAATCAACAATACATAAACCAGCTCTTTCGAAAGTACCAAATTTCTCCTTTAATAAACCCATTGATACCTTTCCCCCGCTTAATGAAAACCAAAATTCAATACCAGGACCTCTATTTTCGGATGTAGTAAATGACGACGATGAGTTTAATAATGTACCATCACACGGTCTGCAGGATTCTTACGGTAATGCATATTTCACGGATTCATTAAATCAACCTAGTTCTGTAAGAAATGTAAGAAAACCTTCAATAAGTCGATATCCACTTGGAGGGTCTGGTTTTAATACAGCAACATTACCAAGTTTCTTAGAACCTCCTACGCCTGGATTGTCTTCATTTTCTTATTCTAAAGATTCTTCAAATAAGTACAAAACCACTGACAACTTATTCAAAAGAGGAATTTCAAGACAAAACTACAGGCCGCTAAGAAAAAAAATAACAGAAGCTTCCGATGACTTGTTATCCTCTGGAACCTCTGTAGTCAGTACGTTGTCTGATGATAATATAGACAATGAAGATGATTTCATAGATCAACAAAGTGATATAAGGAAAACTAACTTAAATACAAATGTAAAAGTTACAATATCACCCAAGTTATACGGATTTAGTACAGCAAAACCATTAATTAGTTCTATAAGACCCAATGAACAAAATCAATTAACAAGGGAAGAAATTCTTTTGAACGGTAAAAGAATAAATTATAACTATCATCCTATAATCGACTTTTTTGAGGATGACGAAAAGGATGGAAACGAATCAATAGATAGAGAAGATATTGTTCCAGAATTTATACCGTCTACAGAATCAGAATGGAAGCCATTGAACCGACCTATCTCTACTACATGAATAAAAAAAAATAGTATTTGTAGTAGGTCGCAAATTATTTTAAACAGTAATTATAGTGTTCCAAAATGAAATAGAAATACATTTATATTATAACGAAGCCAAATTTATGATGCAATGTAAATTATTTATTTTAATTTATTTTTTATTATTTTAGTTAAGTTATATATTAAGTTCTTTAAGTTACATATATGTTTCCTTATATGTAAATGAAATAAAAATTATTTTAAATTTTTGACTTTATAACATTTTACGTAACGCAAACTTAAAGATTCAGTTCTGGTTTCTATACAAATAAAATTCTTTTTTTTTGTTTAATTTTTAAACTATACTTACATTTAAATAAGTTATTGAACTGCAATTACTTTCTGAAGTATCATTGAAAGAGAAAGCGCTGTGTTTGTTACACTGTTATTCTCAAAGTGGGACAGGCTACTAAAATCGCTCTAGAAATATTAAAAAACAAAATAGTAATAGTATGACAAAACCAATGCGTCCTAAATGTTTATTCAACCAATAAATAATTTTTACTTCAAATTGGTAAGACCTGACTTTGACCCATAGGGAAAAAAAACACGTTTTAAATTAATCAATTATTTAATAAAACAATTTAAATAGACATTCTTACATTCATTGATGTATAAGAAAAGGTAACAATTTTGTATTTATCACAGATAGTTTATCGTAGTGACCTTACAAGGCATAATTTTATACCATTAAATTGTAACCAAATTTTTAACACTTTCACAAACGTTTTAATAGAAAAGTGGCACTGCTAATTTTGGATCCTAGCATAATTTATACTAACTTCTACTAACATAAATTCTTTACGTATCGACATAATAATACATTCTTTTACTAGGATCTAAAATATATGGTGCAGTGGTGGTTAATGTTGGAATAACACGTGCAAAGGTATCCAGTACTGCTACTGAATTTGTTCTCATATGTTTGGAACTATCACCTTTACTTTCCTTTCTTTCATGCGAAGGTCTATTACGTTCATCAGCTTGAATGATTTTTGCACTTCTATAATTGCCTCCATGCAAATCTCTTCCGCTATTTCTGGAGTTACCATAAGATTTAAAGTTCCCGCCGTGCATATTTCCACTATCATCTCCATTATGTTCATCATGATCTTCATTTAATTCTATAAGTTTTTCGCTCTTTTTATTTTGGTTACTTCTATTTTCCCCATTACTTAATTTTAAATTACCGCCGTGCACCGTTGAACCAGATAACGTATTCGGGGCATTGTTAAGATCCTTTAATCTCGGATTTGGACCACGACTTCGTCTTGATCGTTGAGTAGTACTTCTCGTTCTTACATTATCGTGCTGGCTTCTTCTCTCTTGAATACGTTTGGTTTGTTTTGTAGTTTCATTTTCCACAGATGGAGAAACCTTTGTAGAATTATTTAAGGGTTCTCTATTATTTTTTTCTTCTGTCGCGGTAATTGGTGAATTTTCTGATTCTACAGATTCTATACTTCTGTAATTGCCTCCGTGTCGTGGACCATTTTTGAGATCAACATCATCGTCGAATATTTCCACATCAAATATTTTGTTAACTTCTCGGGCCAAATTTTCATCTTTGTATAATTGTAGAATTTCTGCATTTTTTTCTGTTTTCCTAGGTATTTCTTTGATTACTTCTATTTCCTTAATATCTTGCTTGAATTGAGTTAAGTTGTTATTATCTGGAAGATCTTTATGTATTTCAATTTTTTTCTTTGATATGACTGGTTTCAGATCTATTTTCAGCCTTCGAACTGCTGTCGTAGTTTCAGGAGCTACCGTTGTTTGAATCAGCGTTTGTTTAGTTGGCTCAGGCGTAGTAACTTTAATGTCTTCTTCTGTACTTTCATCACTATCCTCGATATCAGCGGAATCATAGTTATCATTTCTGTCAGCATCTTCATCGTCTTCGCCACTGTCATCGTCATCATCATCATCATCATCATCATCATTTTCAAAGTCGTTTTCATATTTTGTTTTTCTGTTCAATTTCTGTTTTGTCTCCTTTTCTTTTTCGTAATCAGGAATATATTCTTCCATATCGTGCTTAATGCCGATTAATTCGTCAATGTCTTCTTTTCTCATGTCATCGTTTCCTTGATCATAGCTTTTTGTATCTGTTACAAAAGTGCTTTTAGCACTTTTTCTTTTCTTTTCTCTATATTTAGGAATAATTATGTCATCTTCATCGATCAATTTTTTGTTGATTGGCCTTGAGACTTCACCCTCGTGAATTCCTTTATCTATAGTATTGCGGAATCGTGTAGTTAATTGCAATTTAGGTACCTGTTGATCTACTATTTCTTCAGTACGAGGTGTGCTTGTAGTAGTTAGTATTCGAATTCTCTTTCTAATCGTTGGTTTTGATGTGGTTGTGGTTGAGGTTGTTGTAAGAACTATCTCTTCATCTTCGTCATCATCATATTCATCATACTCATCACTTTCTTTACTTTCTTCTGATTCAGGTAGCACATCCGCTTCTGGAGTTTCTGGTTTACGGTCAGAGAATTCCCTAATTTTCTTGACTCTGTTGGATGATTCAGGTTTTTGTAACTCAAGCGATTCTGGCAAATATTTGGATACATCAAAAAATTCTCTATTTGAATTTTCATTCTCGTTATTATGTCCTCTTTCGATACGCTTTACTTGACTTTTAGATTTTTCTTCCTTGCCAGCGTCGATTGTATGATTTTTATAGGCCTCAGGAGACATCGATCTTTTTATTTCTATAGGCGTATACTGAGGTTTGTGATTTATTGGTCTTTGTTCAAATCGAGGTTCACCCTGTCGCAAACCTTCATTAACATCGACAAATGTTGAATTTGATGTTTCTTTTTCAGGTGTTTTTTGTCTTTTTTCTCTATCTTTTTTGCTTATGTTTTTATAAGAAAGGTTTACAGTATTTCTTTTAACCGGTTGATCTTTATTTAAATTTGTTGTAACTCTGTCAGCCACTCTACTAGACTGCAATTGTTTGATTAACGGACTTATATTACTTGACGTAGTTGTTTTCTTAGAGTCCTGTATTTGACTGTCTCTTATTATTTTGTACGGTTCGTAAATAAAAGGAGTTGCTCTTTTTTTTCTTGCTAGTTCTTCTCTTTTCATTTCATTTTGATTATTATCTTTGGCGTCATTAACGTTCATTCCCTCGGATTTCAAAATATTAAGTAAAAGTTTTTGTGCTAATGTATCGTTAACTTTTGTGTCGTTATTTTTTACCTCATCTTGATTCATCCCGCTGTCAGTTTTACTCGCGAGTACTAACGGATTGTTTTGTTCATTGTAGAATTTAAATATGTTTGAAATTGGTGCCATAATTGGTTCTGGATCAGAAATAAGTTCTTCCTCAAAAAATGGGCTATCTAGAGGATTTTCTCCGAAATATTTCACTTTAAAACAATCAATTTTGTCACCAAGACCTTTCAAACGTGGTTTCTTGTCGCTTTCGTTAAAGCTTTGGTCATCGTCATCTTCATTGTTGTCGTCAGGATGACCACCCTTTTTTAATTTTTCTGGAACTGGATCAACATTGTCATCCACTTCAGGACATTCGTATTGCTTCCGGGAATCATAAAACTCAGTTCCTCCTTTAGTCTTTTTTGGGATATTCTTAAAATTTTCAGCGTATCTTAAAGGCGAATCTTTATTAATCACTTCTAAATTTTGATGGTAATATGGATACTTGGTTGATTTATGTTCAAGTTTACCTACTTGAGTTTTATTTTCAGATGTTTTTCGCAGTTCTTCCTCAGTTAAAAAAGTTGAACTTAAATTTATTTCAGGTACCTCAAAATTTGTTTCTCTTTTACTTAAGTCATGTTGGGAATTTGCGCCTTGAAAATGTTCACTTTCGGGAGAGTTTCTTTCAGTCAATCGTTTGCTTTGTTCATCATTTTCAATAAAATAATCACTATCATTCTCAGAATAATCATTCTCTTCCTTTAATTCCTCTTTTTCTTTCTCATTATTTTTCCATTTTTCTCCATGTATTATACTATCTCCATATGAAGTCCCTTTTCCATCTTCGTATTTTCCACTAAAGCTTGGTATTTTATATTTTCCTTCACTTGCCTCATTTTCCTTAAGGTAACCTCCGTGACCTTCGAGATCAGATGCATGTTTTTGTTCTCCGGCATGATCATAAGCAGCATCTTCATAACCCTCTTCTGAATAAATGGTGTGAGCTTTGGAACTTTTTACTGCTTCTCTAAGACGAGGTGCATTTAATATATCTTCATACGTTTCGGCATCTAGAAATGCCGCGTCTCGAGGAACATGTTTAACTGTTTCAATTTTTCTTACTTGCGCATAATTCTTAACGGGGGAAAACTCTACTTCATCATCATCATTTTCATTTTCATTACTAGTACTTTGTAATTCTAAGGTTTGATGTTTACTAGGACGATTTTCGTTAACTGCTTTGTTAATGGTTTCATCAACATTATTTCTTAACTGCGAAAATTTTTCCTTGCCTTTTTTATAAATGTCATATCCATCAGGCTTTTCTTCATGTAATTCGGCAGGTCGTAACTGGGGATATTCATTGTGTTCATCATCATATTTTAAAGCGTGTTGTTGCCTAACATTCTGCAAATGATTTTTTATTGGACGATAGTGATTTGGAGTAACTTTACCATAACTTTGTCCCCAAGGATGTCTTATTTTATTATTTAAAATATTATCTCGCTTGTTGTTTGTTATTGGTGGCATATAGTATATAGGTCGCCGTTGTGGTCTATGTATTTCAAACTGGGTTGGCTTGTTTTGGGGAGGACTTTTTTTGCGGTCCGTTTCATGTAGACTTTCTAAATTTTCACTCTTTTTGATATCAGATTCGCCAGCACTATTTTCGTATAACTGCAATCGATTTTTAGTTGCCCTCACGTCATTTTGTACTTTTGAAAGAAAAGGATCTTGATAAATTATTTTTAACGCCGGTTCCTCCGCTTTGTATGGATGGAATACATTATATTTAGTTGAAACTGGTGTTACGTGGCTAAGATGTTTATTGTTGTTTAGGAATTGTTGGAATGGCGCATGTATTTGTTTTCTGGGATCGAAAATTTTATGCTTTCCGAGCTCAGGTTTGTTGACACCCGTATGTGGTCTAACAGGGTGGGCCTTGAAATGGTTTTCCGGAGATTTCACACCATGGAAATTGGCAACATCAACAGCAAATTGAGGTTTTTTCGCTGTGTACTCGAAGTACTCTTTAGGGATAGGTTTCTGTGCAATTTGCTGCGCCACTTTTGGTGTAGGTGTCTCAACTGGTAAATCATTTTGGTTTTTTAACTGATCTTTTTGCACTTCACTGTTATCATTCCACTCAACTGGTACTCGAATTGTCAAGCACAACGTATATTGAAGCACAAGAAAAGCTAAAACTCGGATCATGTTTTTACATCACGAATCGCGACGAAAACTTCGGTCAACTGAATCAGTAAACGGGCTGAGTACTGCTTTTATCTCCTCGGTTATTCGTTGCGGGCCGATTGCAAGTGACCGCTCGCTTTGATGGTGAAGTTTGGTCCAAGTTATAAGTGATACAAAGACTAGCTATGAAACATTTCTTAAGTAATCGAGAAGTTTAAAAGTATGAAGTAAACTATTATAATTATCAAGAATGTATTCGATTTGACAAGTTAAAACTTTAGTATAAATATTTAGTAGAATCTTATTTTCAGTTGCATTAAAATGTAAGCACACCTTTCTTTAGTACTATGATTTTGTTGTGTCATGAATATGCTTTCTCTGGCCTACATCATTAAGCATATAACTGAATTATTACAAAGCCAGAAATTCGAGGACATCGTTTAAGTTGAGCATTGAAGAGGTCAAAAGATAAATTGTGTTGATTCGAAACGGACAAAATAAGATGATAGTGCGATTAATAGAATAAAATGGAAAGTAAATGACACTCACCGCAGATTAATGGTTTTTATTTTAAACGATTTTTTTAATATATAAAAACAGTAACTATAGTAGGTAGTTATGTTCCTGGGTCATTTAAGATGTAAGTAAATGACATACTGAATAAGGTCATGAAAGAAAGTTAGCTTTGTTAGGATGCGAATGTTTGTGAGAGTCGAGAACTCTTTGTAGTAAGTGAAAGCTTTGGCTAAAATCAGGATTTAACAATCTTCCGGACTCAATCCGATATTCAAACATTTTCTAATAACTAGTTTCAGTTCTGCAAATCTAAATTGAAAAAGTGAGAAGGTAAGATTGAAAAATTGCTTTACAATTAATATATAGCGATTTATCATACACATAAGCAGTAATTAATTAATATTAAAGTAGGGTATGGAATACTTAGCAAAAGGTATAAATTATATTAGACTCTGGTGTTTCATAATGTGCCAATAAGACAATTATAACGGGAGTGGTTTTCGAAAGCCAAAGCGGTTGCGACATATGGCGAAACATAGGTATTCTAGTCCTAGACTCCCACGGTAGGCACTGACCGGTCGACTTATTTGCGAACAGTTTTCGGTTGTTAAGTATCGTTTAGTTTCTCTTAATGCTAATATCTGGATTAGTTATTAACAAACTACGACTTGTAGACAAGTTACGATTATAGTGTTTTCGATAGTGATTTAATTACTTTGTCTATAAAAACTTTGTGAATTAACCTGATCTTAGCTAGAAAAATTGTGTTTATGATTATCAAACTGAAATAACTTAGTTTTCACTTTTAATAGTAGAGTAAAATTGATTCTTTGTATTAAATAATTTAATTTGAACTTCACATTTAAAATAATTAAAATACGTAAACTATTGAAAATTTTACATTTACTTTTTTTTAATGTTTTAAATGTTACTTAAATTTAATTTTGGTATTTATTTTGTGTGTAACTGTACGTACAATTTAAATTATTGCCCTTTAACTGAACTATAACGAGAACGTTTGTGCAACGAAAGCTTTGCACATTTTCACAATATGCCCGTCGCAGAGAAAATATGTTTATTATATGTTGAATTATTTATTGAGAAGACAAAATTCCCTAAATAACCTATTTAACAATTAATGGTTTATAATCTAATTGTCATGTTTGTTATATTCATTAAAATATGCTCTTAAAGACAATGATACAGATTAAATTATGTCAGGCCAATATAAAAAGAGATTTTTAATCAGTTGACTAAAATTACTTTGAAAATAAATCGATAAAGAGTCGAAGGAATAAAAAACAAAACAATTATATATAACGAAATAGATTCAGTTTCGAATTTAAGTCGATTTGCGAAACTAAAGCACGACCGTCGCTTGCAATCTTTACAATGTCATCATACAGAACTTCATTTACGGTCCGACGGAAATCGAAACATTGATTAACTCAGAAATCGATTTTTACATTAAGCTTTGAGCAATTTGTGTGAGTTTTTAATTACGGCTTTTTAACATATTTTTTTAATGTTAATGAATCGTGACAACTTTTTATTAAATGTTAATTGAACTTAGGGTCTTATGTGAGTTACTTCACAATAAAAAATAATCGTTTTTTTATATTATAAGGTGACAAACGAGCGAGCGGCCACCTGAAATCGCTGAAATAGCGAAGCGATCGCTGCCCATAGACATACGCAATTGCATATGCGTTGCCTACCCTCAATTTTCCCTTCCTATGTATTCTCTCATCCGGAAAGTCCACTTTCACTACTCATCCTTTCCTTATAAAAAAGGGTGGGAAGGGAAAGAGGACTAAATGAGGCCTCCGGGACGCACTCTCATCAGAAGAAACGCGGAATTGCTTCCACTTCACGCCTGTTTTCTGTGTGGTCGTGGTATTTCACCGGGCGAGCCGGGCCAATTCATGCAAAAATTTTAAAACAGGATCTACCACTGGTTAAGGAATACCAACCCATTCGTTTGTTTGAAAATATTCAAAATATTTTTTGAGTAATTAAATATGTTTTAACAAATAGGTTTTCTCTATTATTACATTTTGCAATTTTTTTTTATTATTCTTTCAATTAGATCATTGTAATTTGAAGTTCAGATGTCTTAACTTCATTCGAGCATAAAAATCGATACTGATGTTTATCGATTTCGATGCAATATCGATAACGCGCAAAGTGATTTGTGCAACTATACGGGGGGACATTTCTTTATGTAATTCGATTCGCAATCGCATCGAAATTGAAGCATTGTCGATCTTGACGTAACGCGAGCTCGGCTCGCCGGTGCGGCCTCTGGTTGTTTGAAAGTAAAGGAAGCTTGAAATGTGTTGCGTTTATGCTAAAGATATTTAACACATACCAATATTAATAGACAGGACATTACTAAGCAATCCCTATTCTTAAAAAGTTGTACTACTTGTCCAGTTTCGGTTGTTTAGTTGGACACTTCTAATAGAGAGCGGTAAAGACGATTGCAATTATTTAATGTGATAACATTAAATATTTAAAGGAAACGGTACGTAATGTCCACTCTACTACTAATATTATATTTGAATCTCTTTGGTTTTTACCGATGCTGTCACGCCCTCATCGGTTACAGGCTACATTGCAACGTAAAAAGCTATTAAATTTGTTTATTTGTATAGGTGAAGTGGGAAAGGAAGTCAATTTATATTAAGTAACTTCACCTACATAAGATCATTTATCTAATTGCAAAACACAAACGAGAATACAGATATTTCTAAAAGATACCATCTAGTCAAGAAATTATGTCCTTGTTCTCATGCCCTCTCGCTATCATCGTTGATTTGAGACTTTATCTAATTAAGGTTCTCAATTTCATTTAATGATCAAAACTAAACGTTTAAAACCACTGTTTTTAATAACCACTTGATGTGATTAATTAAATTTAAAGTTTTAATTTAATGTTTTATAACAACTAGCCAATGATTTTTCACAGCTACGCACGACTGCCTGCAATTTGACATAACAGGCCCTAATGCACGTGCCTTCCTGTTTTTATACTAAGGAATTTTTCGACGTACATTTATAAAAAAGTAAAGCGCACTTTGCTACTGTATTGACTGCGGAAAAGTAGCTGCTGTTGCATTGCGAGTAGCGAGTATCGCTAGCTCCATACACATGATGAATCGACGATGCGAGTTGTCTATACAATTAGTACAGGCATAGCGACTACACGGCTTACTTTGAGGTTATGTCAACTGCGCCATCTTTAAAATCGCAGCAACATCTCTCACGACGATCTTGACAAACATATTGAGAGCTACTTTGGCGATGTCTGAGAGAAATTTCGATGATGCGTGACTGTGTACCAACCTTTGGAGTGTTGCGTTAGTCGCTTAGCGACTAAATTCAGCAGGTCCCCTCTACACCGCCATGTGTACGAAGCGCCTTAATCGGCTATCGTTTAGCTACTGTATTTAAACCTAAACAGACACAAATGTATATGAGCTTTATAGAATTAAATTTATATTTCTCGTTGGAAATATTTGTCATAGTACAAGGCTATCTAGATATTGCTTATTCGCAATTTATTTATATTAACCATATTAGTGCGACACACCTAGATAATATTCAGTTACATATTAATATATCCTATAGTACAAGTAAGTTTAAATTTACACGTTCATAAATTGCCTATTAAGGTACGCTTCCATTGGCTCGCCGTACGCACTGCACGCACGGATTAAATGGATTTGTTCTGTCTTTCGATGCAGTCGGCGTGGATAAACGCAGTGCAATATAAAATCATACAAACTAAAATCCGTTGCGGGTAGTGCGTCCGGTGCGTCCGGCGTGTGTCAGTGGACGCGTACCTTTAAAGCCGTTTTAAATGTTGATTATATTTATTTGGTCTAGAATTCTTTTACAAAATAAATAACTCATTAATAGTGTTACTTAAAATGTTACATGTTTTTCTATCCACTCCAAGTAATTAGATTTCGATTTTTTATTTGAAAAGTTATTGAACTGTTAGTAACAGTAATAAAATTTCCAAACCACAAAACCGATCCTCAAATACAACGTTGTAAAGATAAACTTGCACCAGTTAATTTCTGTTATTTCATCTTATGAATTTGGTTTCGCAACAAACGACTGCGCCCGTTGTAATCGATCCATTGGACGTGACTGTACTCAAGCCAGTGTTTGCGACTGTACTCGATACAGTGGACTCGACTGTACCAAGTAACTATGCGCCTGTTAAAATACTAAGCTGCAATACAAAAGCTGAAGCGTTTAAAATCTTAACTCTGCTTAACCTTAAAGTAACAAGGTGGGGCCTATGAGGCCACGGCAGGTGGTCAAGTTGCAAGTTTTACCCCTTCCCAGTGCCATAGAGATTTCTAAAAGTTATGGCAGATACGTGACAAAAACGTATATCGGTACTTAAAGGTTACCAAAGTGTTTTATTATTAATCTAGATGCACACTGCACTTTAGAACTTAATATTCTTGTCTTATTTCCCTATTATAACCTACCCCCCCTACCTACCTACCCCCTACCTACCCTATCTTTCTCTTTGAAAAATAAAACAGAAGAATTAACATTATTTTGTATTAGTGACGCGGCAATGGAGTTGAAAATGGACAACAGATTACTTAACATAATCTTTTCAGCGTGTTAATTAAAATATTGATTTTTCCTTGGTTTGGTCATAGACTAAGTTCTTCAACAATAGTAAAAGACTATACCGGATTTTCATGTTGCAATTGTGATACCACAGAGCAGCGCAATTGCAGTTCTGCTGATTAGAAAATGCTAGTCAAGGAAATATTTTTAATGACACTTTTTATCTTCAAATCTGTAAGCCATTCGATAAAGGAATCAATATGAAAAAATGTCTCTTAGTTATGTTTTTATTGACGATCAAATTACGCATTTGGTATTGCAAGTAACCGTGAGTTTACACTGACGAAATGTGTGCAGAAAAACATTTTGTTGTTCTTATCTTTTTCAAAGATAATAAGAGAGACGACAGTAATTTCTTATACAGGTATTTTAACAGTGAAAATCTACGGTAAGAATTAAAAGTCGGTCGTTGACTTACGACCTATAAAATTGTTATTGAATAAACGGAAATTTCCGTTAAATTACTTTATAGTAAAATCAATATAAAAATGGAACCAAATAATTGATTTTTCAATTTCAATTTTTATATTGATGTAAACAAAATTCGCAATATTTTTATCAATAACTTTGTAGAAAAAATTAATGAAATATTTAAAAAAAAATTAACTATGGGTACTATAACCCACCCTCAACTTAGGGTAGGCTCCGAGCCCCTCGGTGGAGACGTATAGTGAGCTGATGATGATGATGATGATGGGTACTATGGGTCTAATTAAATTCCATAATTCAGTTGATGCAAGTGCCACCTAAATTCGCCGAAATAGGAGGATTCAGAGGAGGATACACAGAGTGAGGATATTTCACCATCCTACCCCTTTCCATTCTATTCTTATAACAAAAGAGTGGGAAGAGAATGGGGACTCAAATTAGTCCATCGGCACGTACACTCATTAAACGATACGCGGAATTGCTTCCACGCGACGCCTGTTTGGCGATCCGCTGCAAAAAATGTTTTTGCTGGCGTCTACCATTGTTAAAACTGACTTGTTAGCAAAGTAGTTATTTAATGTTCTATTTCATCAGATACAATCGTATTATTAATGCAACCTTCATTATTCTATTATACCTTAAGAACCTTATACATATGTATAAATTATTAAAAAATAATTCCTCTCATAAATGCTAATACAATGTTATGTTGTACGAATGTGTATGAAGGTTGTATAGCTGGTATATAGAGCGTGTGAGTTGTACTTAACAGATTAAGCTCAAGTTAATCGTGCGTCAAGTTATATACAGCCGGCATTAAGTTATCAAGGCTCAGTGGACTTAACTTCGCGTCATAAGCACTAAGGAAGAGGTCTGTTCTGTTACACTCTAAAGTGTTAATATGTGACATAATATATTATTATATGAACTTAAGTAATCTTACTAATGTTGTAAATGCGAAGGATTGTATGGATGGATGTTTGTTAGAAGGTATCTCCGGAATGGCTCAACGGATCTTGATGAAATTTGGCCCAGATGTAGGACATAGTTTGGAACAATACATAGGCTACTTATAAAGTTTATAACTTAACGTTATATTATTTGCATATCATAATAATTTACTGATTTAATGTTTTCATATTTAATTTTAATTTAACAAATATAAACCACTTTAAAAACCTTGCAAATTTTTTATCAAATGTTATAACAGTTGAAAAATTCCTTTATCGCTGCGTAAACGAAAACCTTGTAAATAGCAGCGTATTTTTACGCAATTCGAATAAATTTTCAAACGTGAACTTTCTTCGGTCACATGATTATTCAATGTCAGATTAAATGGCCTTTGGTTCGTTGTTCTCGTATTCCGTTTGCAGAATGACCCGACAATTTGAGGGCCGCATCTCTACAATATAAGTAGTGTGCGATATGACGCGCGGCTCACTCTAGTCTACAATAAGCAGACATGATTACACAACGGCAGGTTAGTTCCTTTTATTATTTGTTTACACATTTTCCTCTATTATATAACCGTATATTTTGACTGCTGAAACATCTGTTATCTCTGTTTATTCAAAGATAATGAAAGGGATAGCAAATTGTTTTGGTTCATGTGCTTTGGCAGTGAAAACAACGAGTTAAGTTTTCAATTCTTTTGTTTTTGTGTTTCTTGCGGTTTTTTCATTAGTTCTCTAATTAGTATTTATATATAAGAGTGTTAATACCGGTCTAGTTTTAAATAATATGTGTTCTGATACAATTTGTAACATACAAACATATATACTCGTAGATCAGGGTCAAAGCTTAAAGCTTTAACAATCTATATAGAAGTTTACACATTGTATTTTACGTAAACATTACAATATATATGCCTACGTTATGTATTAAAAAACATACTTTTTGTCACTTTTTTAATGAAAGTACATTTGTATTATGTAAAAGATTAAAATCGATATAAATACTTAAAGAAGCAGAAAATATATTTATATACTTATTTGATTGTTACAATATATAAAAATATGGTTATTTACCTTTTAGTTCTTATGTAAAATGATAAGATAGCCGTTATGTAAGTTCCGACCTCGCGGGTCGACGGCATTAGGTCGATGAAAGTTTATTGTCGATTGTCAATATGAAGTTCCATCGTTTCCGCTTTTACTTATTGTTATTTAATCGTTACTTAAGCAGAACTTGAGAAATATTTAAATACGATATTCATAAATTTTGTATCATGAAAACTAATTTTTAATTTGATAAAAGACAATTATTATGTAATAACTGGAAAAATACTACGAACGATGTACATAAATAGAATTCGAACAAATCATTAAGTCTGATCGTTTAGGATTTAAATATACATACTTTAAGACATTAGTTAGAATCCTTTGGCGCGAATCGCGCGCTTTCGTTATCAAGTGAAGTGTAGATTGATTAGTGAGGGGACATAAACGTTGACATTTTATAAGGCTAGCGTTGCGCCGATACACCGGCACAGTGTCGGATTTTCTTCCTAACAATAAATACATAAAAAATCGCGTTCAAAGATTATTCACTTGGTCGCATTCCTTTATTATAACTGTAACAAGTCAGTTTTCAAATACAATAATACATCAATTTGTTTTCATTATTAAAAAGTTTCCATTTTCTCAATAGCAAGCAATCATAAATTATGATTGGTCTAAACATAAGTTTTTTTTTTTTTTTAATTCGTGTAATTTTATCTAAACTCCATTAAAAGTGCAATAAAAATTCTATGTCAACAATGTTAACACTTCGATCGGTCTTGTAAGGCTTCAAATGCTTAACCTTGATTTTTCACGTTCAAGCTCTTTTAGTAAAACTACATCTTTGATTCGCATATATGTCACTTCTAGTAACTGGTTACATATTCAAACGACGTTGTGCATCTTGTTTTGATGTCCTAAGTCTCTAAAATACTTTGAAAGCTATTGACATAGTTAGTTTTTAATTGACATAAATATGCAACTCTGTACTCTAACATTGAGCAATAAAGTTAAAAATTGAAGAACGTTTAAGTAAACTTTAATAGATAGACCAATTAACAACTGCAAACCTTCCAACGGTTTCAACTATCGAATCATCTGTACAAAACATATCGCTATCTCTATTTTTTAGTACAGAGTAAGAGAGATGATAATATGGTTTTATAGATGTGTTCGACATTGGGAAACTTATTGTTTTTATACGTCCTATAAAATTACAAGCGTCTAGAAGCGTTACTATCTAAGCCCAAACCCCTGCATAAAACATGTCATCCCTCTCATTATCTTTAACAAAACAGAGATAACAATATGTTTTATACAGGATGGTCTCAAAAACGACGATAAGTGAACATGATTTGCGTACTATAAATAATTAACCTTTACAATCCTGTCAAACAACTCATAATTTCGCAAGGTTGACCTTAAACCTCAAATACTTCCTGCTCTTGTTAATTTTACCTCGAAAATACAAGTTATTATTAAATAATTGTTCTTGTTTTAATTAATAAGTTGTTACAACCAAACAAACGGTGGCAATCTAAACATTTATTTTAAGGGTTAATCAAAGAGGTTTGAAACGAATAACCGATCCATAATATTGATCCGAGCATAGTGTTAACTAATGTTATATTTAAAAGGATTAAAATGCGATGCTACTATACATATCTTAGTAATATTATAAATTCGAATATTTAAATGGATGGATGGATATTTGTTAGAAAGTATCTCCAGAACGTCTCAACGGATTTCAATGAAATTTAGTACAGATGTAAAATATAGTCTGAAGGAACACATAGGCATAATTAAATTGTTTTTTTAATTCGCGGACGAAGTCGCGAGCGACAGCTACTACCTTGATAAAACAAAGTATTCAACTTAAATATAACAATTCACTTTGTATAGATTTTATCATAGACAAGGTTAAGTTGTGTTGCCAATGCCCTTACAATGATGACAATGGGCATAGACAATAATAAATATATTCTTAACACTCTGTAATAAACGTAACATATGTTGTAGAGACAAGGTGAGAGGTGATCAGAAATATCGGCAGTAGAACAATGCATTATAAGTACAATGTCGAGTTATAAAGTTATTCGAAATTCGAAAAATAATTATACTTCTTAATTCTGAAAAACAAAATTAAAAACTTTTTTAATTTGTTGAATTTAATTTAATTTATTTGTTTTTGTGTTTTTAGTGTTTGTTGTCTACATATTTTTATTAAAATTCTTATACATTTATTTATCATATTTTTAATATAGTACATTTCATAGGATAGGGAGCGTCGGTGGCTCAGGGGTCAAGCACTTGACTTGCAATCTGCAGGTCTTGGGTTCGAATCCCGCCATGTACCAATGTGTTTTTCCATTTCCGATTTACATATGTACATTTATCCGACGTTCTTACGGCGAAGGAAAACATCGTGATGCAACCTGCACGTATCTGAGAATAAATCCAAAGATATGTGTGAAGTCAGCCAACCCGCACGTGGCCAGCGTGGTTGACTATGGCCTAATCATTCCTCATTTAGGGTAGGCCCCGAGCCCCTCGGTGGGGACGTATAGTGAGCTGATGATGATGATGACATTTCATATCCAAAAAAAAATATACAAAACATATTATATTAAAATTAAACACCACCGGCTGCGGAATCCCATAATTAAAATTATTATCATGTTAGACTGTAATAAGAATTGCAAGTATTTATTTATTTTAAGTAAATGGAGACATAAAATACACAATTTAGAAGAAAAAACCAATCATAATAGTAGTAAAATAAATCTGGTATCGCTAGACTTAAGGCCGTAAGTTGTTCTAATTATTTGATATATTACGATCTAAAAACCATTTAAGGCAAGCGTTTGTTTATTGAACGATTTGTAAAGTTTTATCTTATTTATTGAGTTGTTTGAAATATTTGCTTTCAATGGTCAAATATGTCTCCGATAATAATAACATACGGCTTTTCAAAGTTCGTTGACCTTTTAAGATTATAGAAGGTAGCAACGAAACGGTTGTTCAAATCTGACTAATTATACTAACAGCAAATACAAAATTTAACTGTGGTAGAGCCAGCTTTAACATCTTCGCACGACATGGCCTGGCTCGCCCGGTGAAATACCACGACCACACAGAAGACAGGCGTCAAGTGGAAGCAATCCCGCGTTTCGTCTGATGAGTGTGCGTCCCGCAGGCCTAATTTAGTCCTATTTCCCTTCCCATCTCTTTTCTTATAAGGAAAGGATGGGAAGTGGAAGTGGACTTTCCGGATGAGAGGATGCATCGAAAGGGAAAATATTTTCTGCATCCTCTCCTCCCTCAATTAAAGGTAGGCAACTCATATCCAATTGCGTATGACAGTGGGCAACGGTCACTTCGCTATTTCAGCGATTTCAGGTGGCCGCTCGCTCGTTTGCCACCTTATGATATAAAAAAAATACAAATGTTTAGATGGGTAGATAGATGGATGTTTGTTTGAAGGTCTCTCCTGAACGGCTGCATAGATCTCGCTGAAATTTGTCATAGATGTAGAGCATAGGTTAGAAGAACACATAGGCTACTAATTAAGTTTTTTTTAATACCGATTGGACAGAGTCGGGTGACAGTTATCATACTATATATATATATATATAAAATATACAAAAAATATGTAACTGGAAGTACGAGGAATGGCGAAAACTTGCATAAAAAGTATTGGTGTGTTTTGTTACAGATTTCCATTTTACTTTGCGCCCTGTTTGCGCTACTATCGCTTACAATTGCGAGTCCTGACAGCGCTGGGCAACCACCACTCCCCGGCCCAGGCCTTTCTTATGGTAAATTATGCAACATTGATTTTAAATGTAATAAGATTCAATTAGTTCAAATCGTTACATAACTTTTTAAACATTGAAAACTTTAGTTTGTCCACTTTTGATTATGGAATTAAGTTTTATTTATGTCTACAATCAACAACTGAAATGAAATTATAGTAATCTATATACAGTTGATTATCTCTTGTTAGATTATTTGAAAATAAAAAATGTACTATAATTTTCTAAAAATTTTTTCTCATTTTGATGTGTAAAATTTGATTTTATTTCTTTCTTTCGCAATTATTTCATATTAGTTGTAGCAAAAATTAAAAGACATGATTGGATATTATAAATAAGTTTATAATATGTTTTTTCAATTTCAGGTGGCATCCCCTACGGCAGTATGAGCGGCAACGTTGCAGAATATTTTGAAAGGCAAGCGCCATCTTTCGTCAGAGGAAGGATACTAAGCCCCGCGTCCCACAACGAAGTTAACTACACGCCTATCGAACAATGGTTATAACTTCACATATCTCACTAGTTCGAGATTTAATGAATATTTCATAAATAAAAAAATCTTAGATTACTACACTTTACTTAGGTTTTATAATGTAACAATCATGTTATATAATAAAAAATATCAGAAATGAAAACATTAAATTGATGGTGACACAAACTACTAGATAATGTTGTTTAACGACACAAGATGGCGATAAACCCTAATTAACCAAGAAATAAATATTTTTTTTTTATTGTTTCATCTTCTTGTATCCTGACACCCACCAGAGAAGGCATGCTTAAAGTTAGTCATTATATTATTAAATTGTTTTTTAAATATAATAGATCGAGGAATTCCTTAACCTGTGAATATAAACCTTGTAAATAGCTTCAGGTTATAAGTATTTATTTTAATTTATTCATAAGTTTATAATGTCAAAAATAAAGCATAGTTGCCAAAAAAATATCTGTGTTATAATTTTGTTGCAAGCTGCCATCAACGACTACCACTAAGAATTTTGTAGAACCCTGTCTTATTAACCGTGGGTTTCTTAGACCAAAATCGCCATTTAAAACATATTGTTGTCTTTATTTTGTTAAAGATGAAAGACAGGAATGACGATTTAAAATATTTTGGTGCCGGACACCCCGGTAAAAATTCAACAACCGACGAACTATTTCAATAGTTTACGTGTGTTTGGTTATATAAATATAATTAAACGTTCGTTTAAATCTTAGTAAACTTAGTGTAGCGAGAGCTTCTTGAGATGTTGGTCGAAGCTCTTCGCTATCAGTCCATTCACCGATACGACTATCGGAATAATGGTAGTCGATTTCATACGCCACATGGCGGTAACCTCGTGAGCCAAATCTAGGTATTTTAGTGACATCGACTAACATTACACAACTCTCAGTGCGGTCTATTATTACTATATCGGGCCTATTGGCAGCAATAGTCCTATCCGTAATAATAGATCGATCCCAGTAGAGCGTGATATGGCTATTTATTACGTGTGTTTGGTTATAAAAATATAATTAAACGTTCGTTTAAATCTTAGTAAACTTATCAAACTTTCGTAACAACCGCCAGTGTGTATACAATACTAAAGTATGTACAAAAAATAACCACGCCTTACCTACATACGTTAATTGCAGTCCCAGAGACATATAATCTTTTTGTTGCGTAAGTCTGCATACGACAATACCCACCATTGTATACGTTAGTACTAAATTTATACTTATAGCATGTTTTGTACGTGTGTAAGATTTTTTTGCAATACCTAATCTGCTACTCCTTCATATGTATGTCTAAAAGAAAACTTGAATCAACTATGGATCATCATCATCAGCTCACTATACGTCCCCACCGAGGGTCTCGGAGCCTACCCTAAGTTAAGGGTGATTGGGCCATAGTCAACCACGCTGGCCAAGTGCGGGTTGGTTGACAACTATGGATACTCAGTACTAAATTCTGGCACCGAACAAATCAATATTAAAATGTTTGGGAACACTTTTTTTATAGCAAAAAGTGGAAAATGAGCAAACGGCCACTTGAATTCGCTAAAATAGTAAATCGATTGTTGCATATGGATATTTGCTTTTGCAGATGCGTTGCCTACCTTTAATCGGTAGAGATGACGAACAGATGGGGAATATTTCCTTCCTATATGTCTATTTCTGTGCCTCCTCCTCCTCCCTTGTTCTGCTTTTTTCATGTCTGAATTCTCTGAACTGTTCTTATCCGATATTAATGTAAAGTTTTTTTTTAGAAAAAGCCAAAACTTACGTATTTTAATTTACATTCAAAGTAAAATATCTTTAAAATCACAATGTTCGATTTAAAGTTTGGTGTATTCAAAAGTATACCGTAACTAGTTTACATATGAGTAAATTTCGCATAATTAACTTTTTTACGCTGTACTTATTCCATGTCCCTATTCTTTGAAGCATAACAATTGACCCTTTAACGGATATTGCAAGGTGTTATGTCAGGTAATGACATAAATTGCAATGGTTTCTTAATCGACCTTTATCATAGCAGACCTGGCTTATTATTTGATATCGTAATAAGGAGTTACATGACGTTATGAAGATTTGAAATGGAGCATTTTCTTATTTTATTTTTCTTTGTTCTAGGGAAAATAATTATAATATAATCTTACTAAATAACTAACCACTACAAAACAAATGAATTAAAGAATACTATTATATATTAAATAAACTATATACTAAAACTAAAAATAAAACTAAATAATATAAAAAATCGACCCCAAATCGTTGCGCTCGCATGGTAGGGTTCCCAAGTGGAGTTCTTCTTTTGTTTTTTTTTTATTAAAACGCTGTCTGTTCCATCGCTGTAAACACTTATGTAAAAATTTGAAATATGTAAATAATATAAATATTAAAAAATATGCCTTTTCTTCATCGAAGTTATTTACGAGAAATAAGTTAAATAATGTTTTATATTATTTTGTCGTAAAATTATCTGTTATTTGATAAAATATGACAAAGTATCCATTGAAGAGTATCGCTTTATGAATAAAATCCATTGAAGTTGAGTTCGTAGCTTCTGTGACGCAAATATAATATGACTTAGTCATAATTAGTGTGAGGATTTATTACATAACCGTTAGCGATTTCATGAGAATAGCGTTTGATGATAAATATTTTACATTCACAAAGATTTAGAGTATTTGAGATGATTTATAATAGATAGGAAAAGTGGATAGATAAATAGGAAAAGTGGATTTGATAAAAATCTTACTGGTTATTATTTACTGGTGGTTATTTGTTAAAAGTTATCTCCAGAACGGCGCGACCAATCTCGTTTAAATTTGGCAGGGATACAGAACATAGTCTGGAAGAACACAGGCTACTAAATACCACGGCTTCTGTATTAAAACACATTGTGAGTAATCAATCACTCATATCACCATAGCCTTACCTTTAGGATACACCTGTCTATCTTATCCATTCGAGCCACGTCTCAATTTCGGTATATTCGAGCTAACGCTGTGACGTTTTCGGCAAAGGAATGACAATTTCATTCAATGACGATATTCTTAGAAAGATAATCGGGTGTTAAGATAACGGTTTAAAGGTATTTTAATATTAATAAACAAATAACTCACGACAAGGATTAATTGCTTCAATTAAGGTCAAATCACACATACGATCCTTGAGAACAATCCAAAAAATTTATTTAATTTAAAATCATCGTTAAATTTTGTCTATCAACTACTGAACATAATTTACTTACTTCTATACAATAGGTCATGTTTTTTGATTTCTATTTTTGAGTTCTATATAGATCGGTTCAATTAGAATTATTTAAATGGGTGAAAATTCTACAATAATATATAGATATTATTCTAATAAGAATCGTTTATTTTGCTTATATACATTATTTTTCGTTACATTCCTGTCCTATTGAAAACAAACCTTGTAAAATTTAAACAATGCAATTAGGCATCCGGCAATCTGTAGTCTGCGTAATTTACGCGTTCAAGGTTACAACTATTAGTGAGAGATAGTATTATATTCACCATTACTAATATGTTTGATCACATTAGTATAGTAATATCCAAACTTGCTAGTCGCAATATTGCACGAACGCTTCACTGAACACGATTTTAGGTATCAGCATACGGCACGCATCTACGATTGCTTTTAACTTTTGACCAAGCACCACCAGCTGACAGACCATCAACTTGGGGCCGTTACAAAGTGTGACTCGTATCATAACTTTTTCCTAATAATATTATATTAATGCTAATATTTGGATGGATGGATCGACGGATGTTTCTTCGAAACGGCTATACAGATCTTTAAAAAATTTGGCACAGATGTAGAACATAGTCTGGAACGACACATAGGCTACTAATTAATTTTTTTTTTAATTCCGCGTGAATGGAGTCGCAGGCGAGAGCTAATCCACTATAAATAGATATCACAGAGATGATCTAGGTTTGTGAAATATATCTCATAAATTATGCTTAATATCAGATCAAATTAAAGACGAAAATAAATCGATGAAAACCAGACCACGGTTAGCAGCTGTCGACGTAGAACGTAAGACCTTCTTCTTCTTCTTTTTCTACGTCTTTTAATCGGATATTTAAATTCGTTTCACTTAAATCTAATAGAGTCTACTTTAACTGTACGTTTAACTGTGAAATCAACATTGTTTCGGCGGTTCTTTGTCTTAAACGACAATGAATAAATGAAATGTAATTGATTTCTGTCGTCACGATCAGTTTTATGTGTTTTATTGTTTCCATTGCGTATTATTTGTATAAAAACATACTGTCATTGCTCTAATTGTCTTCAAAATAACTTGGTATAGTTCGCGAATGTTTTAAAAGCCCTTATCAAAAAGCAGATGATGTAAAAAAGAATCACCGTTAATTTTCTTCTCACAATATTTTATTTTCTTTTTAAATTACTTTTCCCTATAATATTGTTTCAAATGACTTCACTAACATCATTTGTTACTAGACTCCTCCCACTACATGTAGTTAATATTGAACGTTTAATTCTAAACAAGCTGTATTTATCACGGTTAAGTAGTAATTTAGTTAACTACGTAAAAACGTGGACTCTTAGAATAAACGTTGGTTTATAAGACGTAAATCCCTGTGTAAATTATATCGTCATCCCTATCATAATCTTTGACAAAACAGAGATAACGATATTTTTAAAACGTGGACTTTGGTCTCAGAAACTTACGGTAAGTAATGCACTGCACTTGCCGTAGATTGGCCAACGTGCAGAATCATAAAGTCTATAAGTCTATCTACAATCAGTAAGTTTACGATTTTCCTACGTTTAAAACAAATGCTAGCAAGTGACCATCAACCCTTTAATCATCTAAGACGTACTATGACGTTGTGATGCTATGGTCTAACACCATGGAGGTCATTGGCACCGCTAAGGGAGCCGTAAAGCCGTGCCTAGGACGCGGCGGGCATATAAAATGCTTGCCAATACCATACGCCATCAGTCTGCAGAGATATTCGCGACAACATGGCTTTCAAAGTAAGTGCCTTTTTAATCCTTTGCGTATTTTTCCCGAAATTTAATTTTCAAGTTTTACTTCATGGTTAGTCGCCATTTGGAAAGATGGTACTTATTCATTAGTAAGTAAACTTAATCTTATATATAAAATTCTCGTGTCACAATTTTAGTTCCCATACTCCTCCGAAACGGCTTGACCGATTCTCAGGAAATTTTGTGAGCTTTTTGAGTAGGTCTGAGAATCGGCCAACATCTATTTTATAATCCCGCGCGGACGAAGTCGCGGGCTACAGCTAGTTATCTATAATTAAAGATAGAATGGAGGAAGATTTTGTTTGTCTTTTCATACATACTTTTAAAATCCCATTTAGATAATTAAAGCTCGCATAACAATAAATTTTTAGGGTTCCGTACCTCATAAAAAAACGGAACCCTTATAAGATCACTTTGTTCATTATTTTCAACAAAACAAATTATTTGGTTTGTCCAGGTAGGGAGAGATGATTCTTTATACTTTTATTTATTGCTAATTAGTTCATTGTAATTGTGGAATTTTAACTAACATAAGTTACAGCTAAGTTCTCTTTGCTCACTTGGTACTGAAAAAAGTCTGAAAGTATTCATCTAATTGAAAAATACTTAGTTACTATTTACAATATGTTCTTTTAAGTGATGATTTGCTAGGTGAGAGATAAAGCCAAATAAAACAGTACAGTGTGTTTTCTTCAAAATGATAATTTTTTTTGTTAATATAATACATATATTCCCTTATTTGATTGAGTCGCGTTTACTAAATGTAAAAATTCATCATACAGGAACTAACAAGTTACCTCTTATCTAGATAACGGTTATTATAACTTGGATAAATCTATGTTTTTCGTTCTATCTGTTGCATACTAGCTCGTGTGAATTTCTCAGAATTAAGGCCTGAATGACAGATCTTTTTATCATATCATTTCCCACAAATAATTATGTAAGATTGATATTGTGATTCGAGAGATTTCATTATAGTCGTAGAAATATGATTTATGATTGTATTTACCGAAAGTATTCCTGGCTATAGTTTATGTATTACTAGCTGTCGTCCGCGACTCCGTCCGCGTGGATATATAAAAAAAACTTAATTAGTTTAGCCCACCCATCCATCCATCCACATCACATCCATCTAAACATTCGCATTTATAATATTAGTATAAGTTAAATTAAGTTAAAAAAAATGAAGAAATAGTATCCTATGTCCGTCTCCTGGCTTTAAGCTACCTCCTCACCAATTGTCAGCCATATCGGTAAAGCCGTTCTTGAGTTATAAATAGTGTAACTAACACGACTTTCTTTTATATTTATAGATTTTAGCATAATGTAAAGTGTAAGGGACTTAGAAAATATATTATAATATTACTAGTGGAAACTCGCAACTTCCTCAGCGCGGAATTAAAAAAAGTTCCGTCGAAATTGGACCAGACGCTCCGGAGATTACCCAGACCAAACACGGTCATGCGGACAGACATACAGACATTTTTAACATAGGATTTTTTTCAATATTACAGACAGACATTCTAATTTTATTAGTATAGATTATTCCAGTACACTAAATAAAAAAAAACTGTTTTTTGTTTTTCTTACGCAGGGCACACTTGTGTTTTTCGCCGCGCTATTTCTAGCAATAACCGCTGCACCGGCACCTTCAGATGTAGAACAGCTGGATACTGCAGGTCCTGAGAAAGGCGACCTGCAAGTCGCTGCTTCACATTGGGGCGGACATTGGGGTGGCTACGGCGGCCACTGGGGCGGCTGGGGAGGATACTACCCATACTACGGCGGATACTGGTCGTATCCGCTCTACGGCCATGGATATGGATACGGCTGGCCGTATGGATATTACGGACATCATGGATACTGGTGGAAGTGAGAAATGAGTTAGTAGTAGTAAGAGAATATGCCAGTATTACTTTTAAGAATTAACAAAAGGAAATTTATGATGTTGGTACTAAGAATATATATTATTACGATCAAAAATATACAAAATATTTAATTTATGTCATTTTAATAGTAATTATTCAAGTAATTTGTTGTTAAAAATAATATTAACAATATTATACAATTCTCTATAATGCTTGCCCTTTACATGTATGTATTATGTTAAGTTAATTTAAGTTTCGAATAATTTATTAATAATATTTTATTAGTTAGATTTAAAAATAATATCGTTTAACATTAACACCTAATACGTTAATATTTTAAATTTTTAATTGTAGATAGATTAAGGATATAAATAATTTAAAAATTAATTTAAACGTTTATCTCTTTTTAAACCTTTTCCTATTTTAAAAATCAGAATTTTGCTTAAACTATAATAATTTTAATTCTCAATTAATAATAGTATCTTCATAATTATCGTAATATCCTACTTTTCTTCTTGTGCAATAAGTAAAAAAAAAATAGGGAGTCTTATAAATAAAAATACACAACTGAACGATGAAAATAAAGTACTCTTGTAATAATGAGGCAAATATCTGCTGTAGCATTAATGCTATTTATTTTGTACAGGCGCATATAGTAAAAACACCACTCATTTTGTAAATTTTAGTAGAAAAATATCTGTAAGTTCACGAAATTAAATACAATGACGTCAATTTCTCGTAAACTACGAATTATGAAAGTAGACCACATTTTTTATATTTTTATTTAGTTTACATACATAAACTTATATATTAAGCATTGGAATTTGATCTTCATTTTATTGATGATAAATTACGCAATTGATTTCGTTTCAAAATGCCTAAAGTATGAAATGTGATACGTGGAAAAGATTTATTTGCGTTATTTACATATCGCTTATCAAAAATTTACATAAACCGTTCAATTGATTGATTTTGCAAGTCAAGGTGGGTAGTGTTTTATATATTTGGTGTGTTTTTGATGAAATTCATGATTTATAATTCAATTTATCATAACTTATTCAATTCTCTATTGGAAGTCGTGCATCATCCACATTATTTTATATTTATGTCTTTTTACGTGATCTAACCAAATCTGTTATGATATTAAATATAAATACAAATTTTATTTACCTCAATCCGCAACACATGTAAAATGAATAATGAATAAAGCTAAACGGTACATTAGTGCACTCAACGCCTGCGGAAATAATATAGACATTTTCTACATGATATTAATTGCTCAAATTTAAGTATAGGCGTTTTGAAAAGTAACTAAACATGAGCATTAAAAAAACAAATAATCTGTAAATAAGGTAGAGATTTAAGAAGATTCGTATTGTTATCATTAAAAATGTGTCTTCCATTTTTAAACTATTGTTAGAGTAAAGAATGCGTCAAGATATTTTATAAAGATGATGGCGATGGTTACAATAAAAGTCCAAAAAGAGTATCATATTAAAATACAGAGACATAAATTCGTGTGTCGGTCGCGTCGGATCCATTCGATTCGGGGTCGGCAGCGACCTCGCTTCCGAAGAGGTCACGCGCCTGACCTTTGTAAGCCATCTGCCAGCTTATTCTAGTGACACTGTTTGTCATCTTCATTTCCACTGATGACATCTATTTGATGAGGTCTATTCTCATATAACTCTATACTTCAAATTAAATTAAACGAAATTATTCGAGTCATAAACCTGCTTGTGTCTTGTGAATTTATTTTTCTTGAAGATACGAAGTTATTTTAGTGCCGAAAACCTGAGCTGACTATTATTAGTAGAAACTTGCACACCACCTTTGCTTTTTATTACAGTTTAAAGCGAACTGTACTTAACCTAAATACTAATTACTAGTACAACTACTATTACTAGTGTTAATCATTACTAAAATTGGAAATACATTTTTGAATATTTACATATGTAAAATATTTTTATTACCAAAGCTGTAGTATGTATAGAATATGTTCGAAAAACTATAAGAAAAATTTGTTGATCACGAAAGGTTATTCCAAACATTATGCCAATGAAAATAAAGATACGTGCAGAGAAATAAATAAATTTTATATAATTCGTTAAGTACCATCAAGTACAAAGTTATTTGCACGAATAAATATATGATACGTACATTTAAACGGGATTTTTTATTGCCATGAAAAAATCAATAAAGGAAATTGATATATGTAAGACTTAGTATTTAGGTTGTAGATGGGAAAATGAAACAAAAACAAAGTTTCGTTTAGTAAATATCGAACGATGTAAGAATAGTCCTCTCGTGTGTAGCGTGACCTATTTCGCAAGCCTGCCCACTAATATGAATAATTTGACTTTTAATGTTAAACGTTGTTCCAAGGCCCATTGGCGCCGAATACATTGACACTACGGCTGCATTATACGCGTTCTTATAAAATAAAATTTACAATTCTTCTACTACGACACAGTCACACAACGACATTGCAGTTTTTGACATTGACAGCTTATTCCGAAAGTTATCCATATTCCAACTAATTTTCAGCTCAACACAACTCATTTAAAATCATAAATCCAAACACATTAACAAATTAACCTACATGTTATTATATCATGCGTGATATTTTTATGGAAATTCGAAATTATGATAATGGCAACATCAGCCGCACAGCTGCCGCTCTCTGATTGGTCAAAATATGACGTTGTCAAGATGACATTGTTAGTTCACATGTTTTTCGACTGCTAATTATTAATGTTTTCATAGAGTTGCCACAACGTAAAGTCACAATCACTAGCTTATACAGTTAAAACAACTTACAAATAAGTTTGTACAAAGGTTCTTACTTTTAAAGTAATTAATTTTAAATTATATTTTTTAGCTTATAGATATAGCTCTCAGATTTATTTTCTGTAAAATAATTATTGGCTATAGCTATTTCTAGAATATTGCTCTATTTCTCATTTTATTTGATAATATTAATTACTCAAATTGGATTATCATAAGCCTACAATAAATTCTTAGACAATCTTGACCTTGCACAATATTGTCACTAATTTATTTCATGTTTATTACCATCTTATCTTAATTATTTATGTTTTGAACACATTTATATGTATTTAAGTTACTTTTCTGTAATTCTGTATACATAAAATATTTTTATTAGAATGTCTGATGTTTGAAAGTTGCTAAGATTTTTTTTTAATTATCTTTTGAAAGTATTCTACTTGGTAAGGGATTGTTGTTAAGCAATTAGATTGATAACATTCAAATATTCACCTTTTAACCACATTTGTAACGTATGTATTATGTATATCGAAGAGAAGACCTCGATGTAGAGTTTAAGTTAATTTTATTTAAATTTGACCCTTTGGTACTAATCTGGTATTAATATCATAAATTTGTAATCCGACCATAGGTAATTAATTATCGAAGATTATTTTATATTAAAAATACTTTTAAACACTTTTTATTCACATTAACTTTAATTGTATGAAGCGCGTTCATCCGGAATCGCAATTACGTTATAAAGAGCCACAAAATGTTCACGTTTTAAGTATAAATTTTATAATATTATATACAACAAAATTCATTTAATTTTTTCAGTAAATACAACTGACTATACAACTTCGATAACACCTAAGTTAAATAACTTATATCGCAACAACTCTATACTTACGTAACTTGATCTTGAACCTTTATGTTTTTAACTAAAACAACCGCAATGGCATCCGCGATAGTTTCTGGAGGCTGTTTGTAAACAGACAACGCTGCACAACCTTCGTTATATACATGTCATGTATATGTCATATTACATATATGTGTTAATGAACTTACGTTACCTTCCGAAACAGATAAATAGAAGAAAAAATATATATTCAGTCTAATATTTTATCCAAACTACTGCTATTTACCACCATAAAGCTCAATATATTATTTGTTTCAAGCATTTCTGTTTTGTGTTTTAAAACCTCAGAAAGTAACTTTTTGTGCTACGTAAATTTAGTTTGTAGTATAAAAACTTATATAGAACTAGCTTACGCCCGCGCGGCGTTAAAAACACCGAGTTATTAGCCTATGTTTATTCCAGGCTATGTTCTACAGGCCTGTTCTATGCTAAAGCGAGATTCGAGCAGCCGTTCTAGGGATACTTTGTTACAAACATCCATCAATCCATACATCCAAACATTCGCATCTATAATATTAGTAAGATATGGTTATAATAAATAAACATTGATTTTATTAATTTGATCGATTATAATAACATTCTTTGATATATTTATGATATAATTACGTACATTCTTATGAATTATTAAGACGTAGTTGTTGCTATGCAAATTACAGTAATAAAATACAGGAAGAATACACATTGCTATGACTCCGCAGAAGTTACTACAGAAAGCCTATTGTGGATGTTTTAAAAGTACTAAAAGATTATTGCGATTTTTTAGAAAATATAATTGAAATATGATTAAACAGTGAAGCTAGCATTGTATTTAAACAACAACAAAGATTGGAATAACGTAAATCAAAAGAGCCCTAACCCTAAGACCTAGGTTTAGTGATAATTTTGTATTTGATATTTAGTGCTTTTTCATTTAAATTTGATAAAGACCTAATTAGTTCTTTGTGATTTATATTTAGGTACATGTTTTAAATTTTATAACGAATGTTGTGATTTATAATATAATAAAAATGTGCATACCTTAGTAATTGCTATAGAATTGGAATTCCAAGGTTATGTGTACAATCATCACAGACGCAAAATAATGATCAACACTCGACATCTTTATCGCACGCATTAATATGTATGTTTACGCACATCCTGTATATTATACAGTATGTAATTAACTATAGTACATTCATTAGAATGTACTATAGTTATGTATTAACATACATTTAGTTTTAACAGTGGTAGAGCCCGCTTTAACATCTTCACACGAATTGGCTCGGCTCGCCCGGTGAAATACCACGACCACACAGAAGACAGGCGTGAAGTGGAAGCTATTCCGCGTTTCGTCTGATGAGTGTGCGTCCCGGAGGCCTAATTTAGTCCACTTTCCCTTCCCAGCCTTTTTCTAATAAGGAAAGGATGGGAAGTGGAAGTGGACTTTCCGGATAAGAGGATGCATGGAAGGGGAAAATGATTTCATTATATGCA